TTAATCATCTCTATGATAAATACCTGGTGTTTCTGCTAAAGTACTGCAACACTTTGTTTTGAGACTCTATAAAGAATTATAACAGGTTTGCAATAAGGCTGTACAGCAGATGATTTAGCACTAAAAAAAAGAGCTTTGCTTAATATAAACCCTGTGCTCCAAGCCTGAGTTACAAACCCCCTGTGAATAAATAGAAAAGAAAGAAAAATATAGCATTGCTATCATCCACACATTACATCTGAAAGTGATTCAGGGTTTTTTTTAACTTGAGAAGGCCAGCAACATAAACATTTTCTTCATGACACATAAATCAACAGCCAGAAAAATCAGTGTTTCCAACAGTTGGAAGCACTCTGCATAAATCACAAGTAGGTATCAGAGTGAGTCATGACTTCCGAGTCAAAAGGTAATGAAAAGAATTAGAGCAGCCTCAAATGCAGCTCCCAGAGTGAATAACTGATTGGTGAGGTCCCTCCTGCTCTCCCCCCTCCCAGGTGTGGCAGAATTCCCATTCCCCTTGATGCCTTAGGATTTCAGCTTTTATATTTTTCAAATCCTGTGCTGCTTTAGGGTATAAATCCAAACTCCATACAGGGCATCACCTCCTGTTTATTCACACAAAACAATCCCTCCAGGGCTCTAACTCGAGGACACCTCACTGTCTCAGGGCCCAAAAAGGACAAGCAAAAGTGAATTGGGAGAGGAGCAAACTGGGGGTAAATTACTTCATTAGCTGAAGGTGTAATTGGAGAATTAACCCCTGATGTGTAAATGGATCAAACTTATAAAAGTAAATGGACCAAACTTAAACTTATAAAAGTAAATGGACCAAACTTATTATTGGAATCAAGGGGCGACTGCTGTAAGAAATGATGAAGAGAAGTCCATTGATATCAGAAGGCTAATTAATTATACTTTATTATACTATATTATTATTAATTATACTTTATTGTACTATTTTATTCTATACTATATTACATTACATCTAAACTGAATCTGCACAAAGCACTCAACTGCACTGCCTATAATCTTGTGACTGTCCAGACACACACACACACCTGGCCCTGACAGGCCAAGAAAACAAAACACCATCACTGTGGGTAAATAATCTCCATATTGCATTCTACTTTTGCACAAATGAATGAGATAAGAATTGTTTTGATCATTCTTTTCTCTGCTTCTCTCAAGCTCAGAGAATGTGAATCCCACAATTTGAAACTGTGTGAAAAACTTGTGGCCATTGTCCAGCTTGGGCATAGCCTCTGGGAGGCTCTGACGACCCAAGATGCAGCCATTGAAAGTTTTTAATTGTCCTGGATTGCCAAGCAAATTGTATTCTATTTTCTTTTATTTATTTATTCTATTTTAT